CTACTACCTCCCGCCGTGGCCGCAGGGCCACGGGGCGGAGGCGCGGGTTCAGCAGCAGCTGCGCCGAACCGCGTCCCCCACGCCCGCTTGGCGGTGCGCGGTGGTGCGGGTTTTTGTTTGCTCCCCCCTCGTTCCCCGTCGCGGCTGCTGCTCGCTGGCCGTCAGACGAAGGTGGAGGGGCAGATGATTATTTTCCCCGTTCCCGTCCCTCGGGCCCGCTTAGCGGTGCCCGGTGGTGGGTCTGTTGGGGGTGGGGGTGGGTTTCTTTGTGCCTCTGCTGCTGGGCTCGCTTGAGCCGGAGGCTACGGTTGCCTGGCCCTCTCTCTGTCGAGTCGCAAGTTTCCTGCCTCCCCTCTCGCGTCTGCTACTACGGCCAAGTAGGGGGGGGTCATCCCGCTTGCACGTCAAATGCGCCGAACGGTCAGGCGCCCCAGGAAACTCTCGAGAGGTGCGGCTGCAGTGACAGGTCCCACCATCCCCATGAGACTTAATCTCTCCTAGGCCGTGTCCCAAACCTTGTAGGAAGACGTTTTTGACCCGCGGATTTAAACAGTCGTTCCGATCGACTCCACACGGGCGCGGTAATGTGGCGAAGCGCCACTTCGCAGACCACGCACAGGCGCAGTGAAGTGGCGAGAGTTGTGTAGCAAGGGCGAGGTCTAGTTTGATCCCCGTACAGGACGCCCCTCTACTTACTCACCTTTTGGTGCTCTCAACGCCTGAAGCACGAATTCCAGCTTGATTCGCATTTAGAACGCCACTCCGCTGGACCCCCCCCCGGGCCACTCCTCTGGACATACGATATGGCAGTCCTGGCAAAACCCAGGGAGGTGGTGGTCCAGTTTGATCTGGGGAAGAAAGTGGTGTCAGCAGCGCAGTTGGCAGCACCAAAGGAAGTCGAGGTGTAGTCCAGCACTTGCAGCGCCATTGCGCTGGACCCACCCAGCGGCGCAGCAAACTGGCGACTATTGCACAATTGGCAGCACCTGGGGAGGACGAGGTCTAGCTGTCCAGTTTGATGTCTCGGGGCGCAGCAGCGTGGCGACGGTTGCCCGCCTAGCAACACCCAAAGAAGGAGAGAGTTGGTTTGGGTTTGATCCGCGAAAGGCGTCACTCCGCTGGAACCCCTCAAGGGCATAACAGAGTGGCGACGGTTCAGTAATCGGTAGCACCCAGAATATGCAAGGTCTCGTCCAAGACGGAACTCCGCTGGACCCCAGGGGGCGCAGCAGAGCGGCGACGGTTGCGCGCCTGGCAGCGCCCAGGGAGGGTGAGGTCTAGCTTCTTCAGTATAAGACGGCGCTCCGCTGGACTTTACACGGGCGCACCAAGGTCGCGACAATTGCGCATGTGACAGCACCCCAAGCGGGGCGAAACCTCCTTTTACCTGCCCAAGATGGGACTCCGCTGGACCCCCCAGGGGGCTAAGTAAAGTGTTGACAATGGCGCTGCTTGCGACACCCAGGGAGGGCGAGGTCTAGATTGGATATGATCCTCGTGACACGCCCATCCGCCGGTCCTCGACCGGGGGCACGGCAACATGCCGACAGTTGCGCGCGTGGCGGCACCCAGCGAGAACGAGGGGCGGAGAGTAGGGGTAAAACAGAAAGACAGCACAGGAACGGGATGTGAGGAGAGGAAGGGGGGAGGGGCAGGGAACTGGGGAGGGCGAGATGGGGAAGACACTCGCCTGTTTGAAATCAATTAGCCTGGCGAAGAACCCAACCATATGCAGTTGTCAGTACCGCAGCTGCGGGTTTCATCTTCAAAGGAACTCCCCATAGGACCACGGAACGTGTAAGGGGTGTGCCGAGATGGGTGCCACTGGGGCATTCGGTGAAGCTCCCTATGGGGACATGAAACACGCGCGGGGCGTGCCGACATGGGTGGCGGAAACGCATGTGAGGGCCACCACTGGGGCCTCCAATGGAGCTCCCTATGGGTCCCCGAAACATGATGCTGCTGCGGGGGGGGTGCCGGGATGGGTGGCGGAGACGCATGTAAGCGCCGCTACTGGGGCCTTCGGTGGAGCTCCCTATGGAGCCACGAAGCGCGTGAGGGGTGTACTGGGATGCGTGGCGGGGACGCATGTGAGCGCCGCCACTGGGGCCTTCGGTGCAGCTCCCTACGGGGCCACGAAACGTGTGAGGGGTGTGCCGAATTGGGTGCGGGTGGTGACGCATGCGGGCGGTGCCACTGGGGCCTTCGGTGGAGCTCCCTATGGGGCCACGAAACCTGTTGTTGTGAGGGGCGTGCCGGGATGGGTGGCGGGGACGCATGTGAGCGCGGCCGCTGGGGCCTTCGGTGGAGCTCCCTATGGGGCCACGAAGCGTGTGAGGGGTGTGCCGAAGCGGGACGCATGCGGGCGGCAGCCTTGGGGCCTTCGGCGGAGCTCCCTATGGGGCCACGACACGTGTGAGGGGTGTGCCGAATTGGGTGTGCGTGACTCATGCTGGCGGCAGCGCTCGGGCCTTCGGTGGAGCTCCCTATGGGGCCACGAAACGTGTGAAGGGTGTGCCGAAATTGGGGGTAGAACCGCATGCGAGCGCAGCCACTGGGGCGTTCGGTGGAGCTCCCTATGGGGCCACGAAACGTGTGAGGGGTGTGCCAGAATGAGGGGTGGAACCGCATGCGAGCGCAGCCACTGGGGCCTTCGGTGGAGCTCCCTATGGGGCCACGAAACGTGTGAGGGGTGTGCCAGAATTGGGGGTGGAACCGCATGCGAGCGCAGCCACTGGGGCCTTCGGTGGAGCTCCCTATGGGGCCACGAAACGTGTGAGGGGTGTGCCAGAATGGGGGGTGGAACCGCATGCGAGCGCAGCCACTGGGGCCTTCGGTGGAGCTCCCTGTGGGGCCACGAAACGTGTGAGGGGTGTGCCGAAAAGGGGCGGAACCGCATGCGAGCGCAGACGCTGGGCTTCGGTGGGTGTGCCGAATGGGGGGTGGAACCGCATGCGAGCGCACCACTGGGGCGTTCGGTGGAGCTCCCTATGGGGCCACGAAACGGTGAGGGTGTGCCGAAATGGGGGTGGAACCGCATGCGAGCGCAGCCACTGGGGCTTCGGTGGAGCTCCCTATGGGGCCACGAAACGTGTGAGGGGTGTGCCAGAATGGGGGGTGGAACCGCATGCGAGCGCAGCCACTGGGGCCTTCGGTGGAGCTCCCTATGGGGCCACGAAACGTGTGAGGGGTGTGCCAGAATGGGGGGTGGAACCGCATGCGAGCGCAGCCACTGGGGCCTTCGGTGGAGCTCCCTATGGGGCCACGAAGCGTGTGAGGGGTGTGCCAGAATTGGGGGTGGAACCGCATGCGAGCGCAGCCACTGGGGCCTTCGGTGGAGCTCCCTATGGGCCACGAAACGTGTGAGGGGTGTGCCGAAATGGGGGGTGGAACCGCATGCGAGCGCAGCCACTGGGGCGTTCGGTGGAGCTCCCTGTGGGGCCACGAAACGTGTGAGGGGTGTGCCGAAAAGAGGGGTGGAACCGCATGCGAGCGCAGACGCTGGGGCCTTCGGTGGAGCTCTCTATGGGGCCACGAAACGAGTGAGGGGTGTGCCGAAATGGGGGGTGGAACCGCATGCGAGCGCAGCCACTGGGGCGTTCGGTGGAGCTCCCTATGGGGCCACGAAACGTGTGAGGGGTGTGCGAGAATGGGGGGTGGAACCGCATGCGAGCGCAGCCACTGGGGCGTTCGGTGGAGCTCCCTATGGAGCCACGAAACGTGTGAGGGGTGTGCCGAAATGTGGGGTGGAACCGCATGCGAGCGCAGCCACTGGGGCTTTCGGTGGAGCTCCCTATGGGGCCACGAAACGAGTGAGGGGTGTGCCGAAAAGGAGGGTGGAACCGCATGCGAGCGCAGACGCTGGGGCCTTCGGTGGAGCTCTCTATGGAGCCACGAAACGTGTGAGGGGTGTGCCGAAATGGGGGGGGTGGGGGTGGAACCGCATGCGAGCGCAGCCACTGGGGCCTTCGGTGGAGCTCCCTATGGGGCCACGAAACGTGTGAGGGGTGTGCCGAAATGGGGGGGTGGAACCGCATGCGAGCGCAGCCACTGGGGCGTTCGGTGGAGCTCCCAATGGGGCCACGAAACGTGTGAGGGGTGTGCCGAAAAGGGGGGTGGAACCGTATGCGAGCGCAGCCACTGGGGCCTTCGGTGGAGCTCCCTTTGGGGCTACGAAACGTGTGAGGGGTGTGCCGAAATGGGTGCAGGGGACGCATGCTGACGATGATGATGATGATGATGATGATGATGATGATGATGATGATGATGATGATGATGATGATGATGATGATGATGATGATGCTGATGCTGATGATGATGATGATGATGATGCTGATGTGATGATGATGATGATGATGCTGATGATGATGATGATGCTGATGATGCTGATGATGATGATGATGGTAATGATGATGATGATGATGATGATGATGATGATGGTAATGGTGATGGTGATGATGCGGAGGATGATGATGATTATGATGATGATGATTATGATGATGATGATGATGATGATGATGCTGATGATGATGATGAGCAGGAGGATGACAATGATGATGATGGTGGCGATAACGGCGATGATGATGGCGATGATGGTGATGATGACGATGATGACGACGACGATGATGACGATGACGATGACGACGATGATGCTGATGCTGATGACGATGATGATGACGGGAGGAGGGAGGAGGGGGGAGGAGGAGGAGAGGAGAGGAGACGCGGGGCACCGTCTCTTCAAAACGAGGACCCAACACCACAGGATGATTGGGAAACAACCACCATGGGAAAGTAGGAACATATGAAACCAGATCTCCCTACTTTTTTGGTGCAGGGAGATTATCGCGCCGCATCGTTTTGTGAGGGTACTGGGTCATGAAGCGGGCGGACCCCCTGTTGCGACTGGTTTGTCCATGACGCCCGAGTGTCAGGGGTGGAGGAAGGGGGCGGTAGAGGACAACGAATGAGATGGGGAAAAAATGAGTTCTCCAGCAGCGTGCCGGGGAAAAACAGCGGCTGCGATTCGATGTGGACCAGCCGCAGGTGCGATGGGATGAAGAAGCGGCCGACGTGGCTGCGCGCGGGGAACCGTACGCCGCCCAGCACCTTCGGAGCAGCTAGCAACATCCTCCGTATCTTAGCAACTTCATTGTTTGCCGTCCCGACCACCGTTTTCTTCTTGCGCTGCGTGTATTTCTACTCCCAGGGATCGCCTCCTTGGGGCATGTGGACTCTCCTCCCCGCCGTCCCCCTTCACCTTCGATTCCACGCCTTCCTTCCTCCATCCTTCCCCCGCCCCACCCACCCCTATGTGTTTGCTTCTCTTTCTCTATTTCTCTCCAAACTCGGCTCGAAGGCTCCCGACCCAGAGTGCAACCAAAACACGAAACCGCCCGCGGCCTTCAACCTGGTGAAGCGGCAACCGTGCCACTCGCATGGGACCGATTCGTGGCACACCCCCTTCAATACACACGCGCGCGCGCCATGGCTCCCAAGGGTACTCGCCGTACGCGTTCAGTTCCAGAGCAGCCCAAGCACCAAGCAAAGGCCGCGAAAAAAAGCCTTCCTGGGCAACAGCCTGTCATGAAAGGAAGCCTGCACCGTTGCACTCCAGAGCACTGGTGGCATCGACCGAGCAGTCGGTGCATGAAATGAGCTGGCTAACAAGCACATTACCGAACTCGACATCGTCCACTAACAACATCGCTCCAACCAACACAAGTTGAGGGGCGAGCTGATGAAACTGTGTTGGACATGAACGATCAACTACACAATGCTGCGCTACTCCCTGACGTACAAGACGGGCTCCAGCCGTGACTCACAAGGGTCCACGGCCCCCGCCGATGCCCATCAGGGTTATCGACACCGCTCCACTCATCAACGTCGGTGCTCAAAACTGGGATGAGCCCGTCGCTTTTGCGCCCGCCAGGGCTGAGGACTGCGCGTCGCACACCAGCAGCGCATCACTACACGCGCTAAGAGGAATGACGCCGTCTCCTACAGCACATCCGCCTGCAAGACCACTACCTTGCCCTAGCTGTCCTGGGCCCCGTCTACACCGACTTCCCAGGAAAATGCACCCACGTCCCCGTCCTCCGCGGAGCGGCCAAGGCCACCCAACCCATGCCCGGCCACATTCAGGGATCGGTGCACCAACTGGGCCGCGCTGATATCAAATGCGTCCAGAACGCGGTCCAAGTGGCATTGGGCCCTGCAAACAGATTCGTGGAGCCATCTGTAAAACGGATACCATCAACGTTGCGCCGCCCCTCCAAAAGCTCTTCACGTCGCAATTCTCAAGGCCAGTCCAGACGAACGGCGCGCGGCAGCCGGGAGGGGCAGGCACGGCCCAATCTAGGGCCAAGGAGCGTCACGAGGCCACCGAGCGCGACCCCTCACGCAAACAACCCGACGACGACCTCACCGACGCCTTCATAAGCATCTCCGCTTCCCACTTCTGCGCGGGCCCAAGAATCCATGAGACTGCTCGGGCTCCATGGCGCCGTGACAGGCAAACGGAGACCCCCCGCCGCGTTTGGCATCGGGCCAGCCGATGCTCCGAAAGTCCTCGCTGCCCCGAGGCAAGGGGGCATGTAGTTTGGTCGCAGGCCTGGCGGCGCGGTGGGGCCTGCGCCTGGCGGGCGCGTTGCCGCGCGGCGTCTGGGCGGTCGCCGGGCCGCGCTCCGTGGGGGCCACCACACGCACCTGGAAGGCCGAACGCCTGCGGAGCCGTCCGCGCCGACGATCGAGCCAGCATCCGAGGCAAGTCGCGCGCGGGGGGCGCCGAAGCCGCGACCGTTGAACGCCGCGGAACCGACGCGGCATCTGCTAGCGCCAAGTACGGCGCCACAGGCATCGAGCCCCAAAAGGCCGCGAACGCCCAGATTGCCGAGGCCCTCGCCTCCCTCCAATGGCACTGCGAAGTCCAGCGCGCGGGGCGGGACAGTGCAACAGGGGTTGTTTTTGCCGTGGCCAAGGCGACGACGGCCCCGCTCGACGCCGCCGCGCCTTCGCAGGACCCAACCGTTACATGGGCCGTCGCACAGGCGGGCGCCACTGCGAAGACGAAACAGCCAAAGTCTCATGCCGTCACAGCTGATACCCCGCCCAGGGGTCGCCGCCAGGCGGCCCCGGCGCTGCCGCTGCGCCGACCCTTCAGGACAGGGCGGCCACCGAGCCGCACCTCCACGCGCTCACGACATCACCGCCCAACCGGCGACCACGCGCGCGCATGCGGGAACACAGCGTGAGTGGAGCACGCCAATGCTCTTTCTTTCAGCGCCGCCAGGCGCGCCGCCGACCATCCCGCGAGAGAGGGTGCGCGCGCGTCTATCGCGGCCCCGCCAGGTCAACGCAGAATGGGCGACCTCTCCGTGTCCGCTCACGCCACCGATCTCAAAGGCACTGACGCCCCTCTTGCATCCCCTAGAGCGCATGTCTTTATCATCGGCGATGACGGGCGTCATGGGGGGGAGAGGGGGTGGGGGGCGGGTATGACGTAACGCATCCCCCCCCCGCCGTGCGGCTCCGGCGCCACAGCCGCGCCCGCGCGCACGACGACAATGAGCGACGAGCGACGATCGACGACGACGACGACGACCGACGACGACGCGAGCAGCATGCAGGTGGCGATCTGCCCCACAGCGCCAGTGTACACCACAGTGCTCGCGTGCACCACGGCGCTTGTGTACACTATAGCACCTGCGTACACCGCAACAGCAGTGTTGGTGTACACCACAGTGCTTGCGTACACCACGGCGCCGGTGTACACCACAGCGAACGTGTACACCGCAACAGCCATGTGCAAAACAGCAATTGTCTACACCACAGTGCTTACGTGCACCGCAGCGCCTGTGCACACCACAGCGCCTGTCTATACCACAGCATCCGCGTGCAACCCAGCGCTGGTGTACACCAGAGTGCCTGCGTGCACAGGACTGGTAACAGGAGCATGTCGGTGAGGATCTGGTGAGGACAGCTAAACGCCACGCCAAGGAAATGCTGATAATAGAATGTGACGTTTTTCCCTCATCCCTCCTCCACCTCCGTTTCCTCCTCCTCCTCCTTGTTTTCCTCCTCCTCCTCCTCCCTCCCCCTTCCCCCATGTCGTGCGGGTCGGCACTACAGCGCACGTGCGCGTCTCAGCGTGCACCGCAAAATGGTCGATTCACTGGTGCCGTGCTGAGTGCACGCAGGCATTGTGGTGTACACTGAAGCTGTGTTGCACACGGCTGATGTGGTGTACTTTGGCGGTGTGGTGTACACAAACGGTGTGGTCCACGCAGGCACTATGGTGTACACAGGCATTGTGGTGCAGATCGCCACCGACATGCTGCTGCCACCCGTCCTCTGCAATTCCGAAGCATTCCCAGACGCCGCCAGCGCAAAACGTGACATCATCGGCCCGGAATACACACATATATATATATATATATGTACATATTTATATATATACATATATATATATATATATATATATTAAGAAAAAACATATATATATATAGATATAGTAAGAAAAACAGAAAAACTTGCTCCAGCTGCGTCCGCGCGCACGACGACGATGAACGACGAGCGACGAGCGACGAGCAACGACGACGACGACGACGACGACTGCGGACCAGACTCCTATGTGGATTCCTGTGCGGACACCGATGCGGATCACGATGCGCACGGCGGCAGTGCCCGAATCGCGCTGGGGGCGGAGACGTTACGTCATAGGGGGGGGGGCAGGGGCCATGACGCCCGTCATGCCCCAAACAATAAAGAAACGGGTTCCGAGGGGGGCGGGGGCGCGACTCACCAGGCCGCGCGCAAGACTCAGACGAGGAGCGGCTGTCAAAGCCGCGCGTCCAAGGCATCTCCGACCAGGCCGACGCCCGCGTCCGCAGCGTGGATGCAGACCAGCAGAGGCTTGCTGCCGCGGTGCACCGACCCAGAAACACAGTCACCAGTGTAGCTGCGAGCGAAGCCACAATGGCCCAACGCTGCCAACAGCTCGAGCAAGATACCGCGACAGATCAACGCGAGCAAACCGATCGCAACACGGACTTAAGTCAGTCCCTGCGCGGCCCTGATGGCGCCACTGGTCGCGCTGGCAAAGGCCCACGCGGCCCCGCGGCCCCGATTCCACCATCCGCGCGCCGCGCCAGCCAGGGCCGGGGGGCGCCGAAGCCGTCGCGGGGCGCGCGCGGGCGCGGCAGGAGCAGCTCGATGGGGGGCGGGGCGAGATCAAAACTTGGGGGCCACGCCGCTGCGCCGCGCGCGCCCCGAGCCGCCGCTGGGCCCATGCCAAAGGGGCGACATCCGAAGAATTGAACGACGACTTCTTCATGGAAAGTGCGTCGGGCGACGACTTGGTGCCCGTCGAAACCGCCCGGGTGAAATTGCACTCCGCCAAGCGAGCCTGCCAGCCAACGGCGCGCGCCGGCCCGCGCGGCAGGGCGACGGCGAACGCGGGGGCCAACGCGGCCAAACCCCTTTCTACCCAGAACACCGGGCGAACACATCCAGCGCCATATGCACGGGAAAAGGCCGCGCAGCCCAGACGGGAAACGAGCCGCCTCCAGCGCGATAGCGACGCGCGTAAGGAGAAAGACTCGGCCATCACCTGGGCGATCGCTGAAGCGGCACTCGTCGCCGCGGCAGGGACGCGGCGACCCGGAGAGCCCGACGCCGACGAAACGCGACCAGCTGCGACACCGACCGGGGGGGTCGACCAAGACAGTGACACGATGGCGACGGGCGCCCAGGACGCCTCCCGCTCAGCGCGGCTCTCATCGCGCAGCTGGACTTCCTGCTCGGCGCCATGGCCAAAGCAGGCGCGCGTAGGGCCCCCCTCTGCCTCTCCTACTGGGCCAAGGAAATGGCGGCAGCCAGGAACGCAGTCAGGGGCAGCCAGGCCTACGACGCGGCCCGCTGACCACCGAGCCACGCGGGCGAAGTCGTTGCCGCCGGCGGAGAGGCGCCGCGGGCATCGCGAGCAGCCTGCGCCACCCGCAGACGCGCTGTGATTGAGCTGCGCCTCCTCGCCACCTGCGTCGCGCGCGCGACGGCCGCCAGCGTTTCTGCGACGATCCGCCAAGACGTCGAAGCACCCCCGTGCCCGC